TCGCTAACCACTACCACTTGATTGTTATAGTTCATTATCTATCATCTAACCACCATCATTCAATTGTTGTTGTGCTGCGCCATGGTCACCCAATTATCATCACTTGACTACTATTGTTTGACCGTTGCTGTCCGGCCACAATTGTCTGATTATCATTGTTTGGCTGATATCATCATCCATACACTATTTTTTCTATAAATTTTATTACAACTACATGTAGGGTGTCAAAACGGGTTGGATTTGGGTCCAACTCGAATTGATCCGGGTCTAATTAAACAGGTTAACCCTAACCTGACCCGGTTTTCCAAACAGGCCAGAAATTTCAACTTGGATCAAACCTGACATGCAAAACTACCACTGTAGATGATATGCATTGAGTCCAGACACGAACACAAGTGTGTTGTGCTCGAGTGGGAACAAGTAGTCGGGTTAGGGCAAGATTAGGGTTTAATGTGCAAAGGAAGTCAAGGTAGTCATTAATGGCAAGGTCGTAGATGAGTCTGGGATCGATGGCCCTTGGAGGGTCTACAAGATTGGCACCAAAATCAATTTTCCTTGCAGGTTTTTCAATGGCAACTTTTAGGATGTAGTCATCAGTCAGGGTATTCTACGTAACGGTGGACATCATGACTAATTTGATAATGGTTAGGCTCCAGTCAAGATAAGCCGCCTTGACTGTTGTGAAGCCACTGATCGACGTGTGGGCAAATATTGACACCAATATGTGTGTGAGGGGGGGGGGGGGGGGGGGGGGGGGGGGGGGGGGGGGGGGTCAATATTTTTGGATAAACTCGAACCTGACACGTCTTGTAAACAGTTGGAAACTCGAACACAAATCCAACCCGTATGGAAAATAGGTTGACCCGTATATAGAATATTTCAAGTCGGGTCCGTATTGGGTTTCATGTCATGTCAAATATTGACACTCATAACTACAAGAGATCAAATAAGTGCTCCCAATTTTGTAGTCCGGTCTTCTCCAATTATAGAGAAGAGTATTTTTTTATACCTTAAATTATATAATATATTATTTCAATTGGGTCAACTCGTATGATTTTTTCTTCTCTTGGATTTTCTATATAAAAACTCATCTCATGTACTCTTTCTTTTTATTTATGTATGTGTTGATTCATCGTGCAAAATTAGGACATAAAATTCTCTTTCTAAAACCATAAATTTTATATCATACAATAACAATATAAACTTGGAATATATTTAAACTAATATCAGTCATCCTTGCATGCAAAATATATTAATATCAAACTCACAACAAAATTGTATATATTAATCAATTCGGAAACTTCTCTTGGTATTAGTTACAAACATAATTAATGCATGAACAAAGATATAATATGATGGTTAAGCTCAATTTATAGTATTCATTAATCAAATCACTCATTTTGACCTAATTAATCTACAAAAAACATAGAATATTTCTCTTCAACCTTTCAACTCATAATTTCTTGTTTATGCATGTGAGATTGTTGTACTAATTATACTCCACGCAAATACACATAGCTGGCCTCCACCGCCTATGTCAGCAAACTAATTCATTGAATTAATTAACCAGCACCCAAATATCTAACTTCCAACAATTTAATTCGTAACATGCGCTTGTCGACAGCTCATAACAAAATATAATTAATTAAATGCCAATCGGATTTAACAAAATTAGTTTAATTAAAGTATTAATTTGGGTCTGCAATATGAATTAAGCATGTTAGGGTTAATAACTGCTATTAATAAACTTTATAGTGGTTAGCCGGAATATTATAAATTGGAGCATGATGTATAATTTAAATTAGGAATAGAAGCAAAATATTAAAAAAATTTAAAAAGAAACTGCATTGAATGCACCAAACTGTTTTGCTTATTCTAAATACGCCAAACAATTTACTTCTAAATACGCTAACAGTTTGTTGCATTCAATGTAATACATCATTATGTTTGGCATGTTCCGTTGAATGCAGCAAATTATTTGGCGCATTGCTACAGTATTTTCAGACTTTAATTCAGCTAACTAGGATGAATGCGTCAAAGAATTTGATGCATTCTAATAAACTAGTCAAATCATTTGACAGATTCTAAAGAATGCACTAAATGAATTGGCTAGTTCTGAATGCATCAAATCATTTGATGCATTCTAATTATTTGGTGCATTCTTTAGAATGTGTTAAATGATTAGACTAATTTATCTCTTTTTAAAATTTTAAAATATTTTTCTCTTATTTCTAATTTAAATTAACGTCATGTTCCTTCTTAAAAAAAAATCGTGGTCAGCTGGTATTTTTGTTAATATATAAGATTTCCTTGTTAATTAAGGTTTGTTATTGGGTGCCGACGTGCCGTGTTATAACTTGTGGATTTAGATTACCCCTCTTGTTTTTTTCCTTATACGCATGTGACACGTCATTGAATAAAGATTGTTTGATCCTTTTTTAATTAGTTCTTAATTAAACTAAGATTATTAGTATCTGATTCTTGATTTAGTATATTTTGGAAGCTTAAAACGCGGAGTTTGTGTTGAATATTGATTTACTTAGGCATTAGTTGGGGCAACTTAAGCTATTATGTTTTTGCTTTTAAAGTTTTTTTTCTTTGCTTAAAATTATTATTTTAAAATAATTTTTTAAAGATAAAATTTTGAAATGGCATTGAAAATAATATTTTCCAAACCGACATTATTTTATATCAACTACTTTTCTTATCATGAAACAGTCAAAATCTTAATTTGTGATTCATTTGAATTTGTTAGCATTTTAAAATTAGTATATTATTTAATTATTAATAATGATATTTTTTGGGGAGCATTTTCTTTAATTTCTTTTTTAATTTGTGAATTATTTTTTCACATAAAAATAGCTCATGACATTCACAACGGTTCAAATTATTTGATCATGATTAATCTTAGTAGTCTCATATATTTATAAATAAATTTTCATTGTGATCTTTCTACTATTGAATAATCGTTCTCCTCACATGGCTGCCACTCACTCATACATAAACTATATGAATTACTTAGTATCAATCTAAACTATTTGTTAGGGATCGAATATATCAATATGGGCCTACATATTAGAAAATATGTGATCAAACTAAATTCAATCGCTCCTATCGAAAAGAATAAAAGATATAAATTAAAGAAGACCAACATGCAAAAATATACTAAAACTCTTAGATGGGATCACATAATTGATGCATGGCTACATCCTGTTGACATCATTGCATATTTCATTATGATTTTAATTGAGTTTTTATAGCTTAGCTAATTCCTCATATCTAACATAAAGACAACTCCTTTATAAGTAAAATATAATTACGGGCAATAAATGAACCGAATCCGAAGCGGGTCGGGTTCGGGTCCGGAAAACCGACCCGCTTGCAAAAGCGGGTCGGGTTCGGGTCGGATCAAACAGTGTCGGGTTAGTTTCGGGTTGGACCCGAACCCGACCCGTGATCCGATTTTGACAGCCCTACTATATATAACGCATCATCCCAAAGATAAATTTGATATATAAATAATCAGATTCATTTTCAAAGTAAGAACTCAAGTATGTATGAGAGCCATCTGTTAATCTTTTAATCAATACATTTTTAAATATTTGATGTAAAATTAAATCCAAAATTTTAAACTGTCCTAGCTAACAAATCTAGGCATAAATAAGAAGAAAGTGTCTCTATCTTATTAAACAATCAAATAACTCTTTCAAACACCGGGTCACTATTTATTTTCAAAAAAAAAAAAAAACACTATTTCCTCATATTTATCAAAGTTTTGAGAGAGCAAAGTTTTCTCACTGCTTTAAAACAGTATTTAGCTTTTCAGATAGTAATCTCAATTTCTTTTGACTGTTATGATCTTATTAATTTTTCATTGCTTTTTAAAAGCTTCTTATAGTAGAAAATTATATTTTGCAACAATAATAGTTAAGTTGATTTCCTCACAAACACTTCATGGCCAGCCTTATAAAATTAATATCATAGCTGTTCCAAACGATTAATTATTCTGTACGGATGGCGAGCGCCGTTCGGAGACCAACCAAAATATGTCACGTCACCCCTTGCTCGTACTGCTGACGTGGTGTATTCTGATTGTTCTCCGAATGAAGTTATGCGTCTGTTCTCCACACATAATAATTTCTAGTTCCAAACATGCCTTTTGTAAAATCATTACAACTTTTTTCAAATTTATACTAAATTAATATTTGCTCTGCTTCACCCCTTTTTTTGAGACATTTTGGCCAATTAAGGTAGACTCACCCACACATCGCATACATAAGATTCGAACCCAAGACTACTTAGTTGGTAGCCTAAGCTCCCAACCAATAGACCAAAATGAGTTGTGTGCGTCACACCTTTTTGTTTTGTCCTTTTTTGAAACCGATATACAAATCTCCTTTCCGAGTAGCTTCCGAACTGAACCATGTTTCTTACTGGTAAATTACTTGAAGCTTCACCTTCTCTAATGGCCGCCATGATATCTTTGTAGAAAACTAATACAATTAGCTTACAAATTTGTATGGTTCATCCACATGCACATGCTATTCAAATAATAATAATGAATATATGATAACTCATTAAATTTTAAATTATCATTAAAGTTAAAGTCAGCTTTCTTCGATTACGATGGTTAGGGCGCCCATAAAAAATTCCACCGCTATGTAGTTGCAATTTCCTGCAAAAATATTATACCATGCACTTAAAAATTTACAGAAAAATAAGAACTATGAACCTCTGAAAATAATAAAATATTTTATTAAAAAATTAAGAAAAAAAGAACTAATAATTTCAAGCAGTATGGTATCACTGAATTATATTTTCTTACAGAAATAACCAATCATTTTAATATAAAATTTTCAGTTTTTGTACGAGCAGTTTCTGATATAAATTTTTTTTATATTAATTATCTATCCTAAACATGATACATAGATCGATCTGCAATTGAGCTCAGCTAAATCAACGGCCAGCATGCATTCACATGACACAAATGCACAAAATAATGAAAAAAATATAAAGAATATTCATCAAAATAGCTCTAATATTTTACAAAATCAGAAACTCAAACAAACCAGACCTAAATTAAAAAAAAAAACCCATCTATCCCTTCTTCTCCTCTTCCATTCACAACCTACTTATAACCACATATCATAATCTAACAAATCTAATAATTTACAGACAATCTAACCAAAAGAGTATAAGAGATCGAAAAAGGGATAGAAGAGAGCTTATATAGTTTCATTCTAATCGTCAGGCTCTTCTGCAATGCTTCTGAGCGCAGGTTTCCAATGATACTGATCATGAATGATCTCATTAGACTCCGCCATGCTCATATTGATAAGCTCTATCATCACATCTCGAGTTGGTAAGCCTTTAATCTCTGCCTGTCTCAAAAACTCCTCAAGTTGCTTCTTACTGATTCTGATCCTCACCTCTGTGGACGGTGCAGAAGTCTCCTTCGGCCTGCTTGTGGTTAGTTCTTCGGCTTTCTCTGTTTTAATCCAGTGCTCTTCTTCATCGTCGCCGTCGACCATAGTCACCGGCTGCCGGTGGCGAAGACAGTTTCCCATATTGACCCTTCTTGATCTTCTTCCACTTCAAGCTCTCTTCAATAGTTTGATGGTTTCTTCAGGAATGGGAGAGATTCTATGAGGGAAAAGGGAAAGATTTTATAAGAATTGAGGGGTAAGGGTGGAAAGTGCGGGGAAAGAATGGTGGGCCCGGGATAGGCAAGGAAAGGGTCAGCGAGATCAATCCGAATGCCACGTAGGATGTCCAGCGTGGCGTGGGAGTTGGCCAGTTCAGCACCGACCCGATCCCGGGGTCGGCGGTGACGTCATCGTATAAATGGACGGTAGCGATTCGGGATTTTGGCGGTGGTTTTTTAATGAGTGTGAATGGGGTTTGAAAAGGAATCTTTATGAAGGGGTTTAGTGTAAACGGGGTTTCGTGAGGGCATCTTTCGGGTTTAAGTTTCTGTTTCCTGATGCGAGCGTCTGTCACGTGCTGCGGACGCAAAGGGCTAAACATCATCTATTTTTTATTAGTAATAAATTTAAAAACTTTTTTCTTAACTTTAAAGCGAATTAAATGTAATATAAATTTTAAATCTAATATTTATTAATTGATAGCCTAAGTTTCAAACCAATAAATCAAGATAGAATGCATAAAAATATTAATTATATATTGATTAAGTTTATTATTAAAATAAAATAGTTTGAGCTTTTACCTAAATACAGAGAAGGTGCTAATATAAAGCCTAATTAAGATGGAGATTATTAGAATCATCCATGTTTGTGAAGCAATGAAATTGGGTATCAAAATTATCATCCATTGAAAGATGTAGGACGTGTTTGGGGTGGTTGTAGCTGTCAGTAAAGCAGATTGTTAAATTATTGTACAAAAAGTTGTTTTTTTAGTTGTTGTACATATATCATTATAATTTGTTTGGAAATTATAACTGTCGAGCTGATGTACTGCAGCTGTATGCAAACAAATTATCATCATAAACTTATATATATTGAGCTGAATTTTTTTTTTGTGTTTTTGTAAATTTCAATTTTTTTAAATGTATATAATAACAAACTAATATTTCTAAATTACAACTATATCCACTTTTTTGAAATATTTTATGTCTTTTAAATATCAAAGTACTCTTAATTTTTTTGATAATATAATATCATACTTTAAAATTATCTTGAAAAAATTATAATATCCGAAATTACTTATAAAAAAATATATTTTTTGTAATAATAATAATAATATAACTTTGATAAATTTTTAAGATTTAATTAAAATATAAAATAAGTAAGTAATTTTGAAGCTTGAAATAAATTATTAATTTTCTCTAAATTACAATTTTAGTGTGAAGAAATACACAATTAAAATAGTTTGAAATCAATAATTGTTGGAGAGCAGAGGGAGCTGCGCTTGTGGAGAGTAGGAAGCAGGTGGGTCTCCAAATAGGGGGTTGGACGTGTGTATAGGATTGATCCAAACAATAGACAGATTTGGTTGAGAGGTGTTGTTGAGGGGCAAACAAAAAAGATAGGCAAGGGGCAGACGTCCGTGGATTTCGGACACATGTGAGGGAGGAAGAGGCAGAAGGATTTGTTCGTGATCGGGAAGATTTTTGAGGACGAGAGATACTCGACAAGGCTGATGGGATTTGGTCGCCGGGTCGGTCTTGAGCTGGGAGCCGGGTCAGGATGGGCGTCAGATCGGAATCGATCGACTAGGTAGTCGGGGCTCGTTCCATTGAGTGGAAGAGATCAGGATTGGGAATTGACAGATTGATCAAACTTTGGGGTCGGGCCAAAAGAATGGGAACAGGTTAGAGGTGTAGATGTCATGAGCAGTGTCAAACTCGTAGAAGTTGAACTTCTAGACGTAGGTACAAGCCAGAGAGCCAAAGGTCGGGAGACTGCCACGAATATCCGAGAACGTGAGTTCGAGATGGATGAGCTTAAGGAGGTTGACGTTGGTCTTTAGGGTTTGGTAATTGTAGTCAGAAGCGGTGCGGAAGGTGCCGATGTGATGAAGGTCGCAAACATTTGCAAGTGATGCATTTACATCAGTTTTGCCCTTCGAAATCGCGGAAACCAGTGGAACGCGAGAGATAGTGAAAGGTTATGAGAACTAGCCATGTGCCATGAATTTTTCCTAACTCAGTTCTACTGCAATGCCCCAAATGACCATTTAGTAACTTTTTATAAAGGAAAGCAGTAGTGACCCTGTCCTAAACGGACCTGTAAGGCCTAAACGTAGCATGCAAAGCAGCACTGAAAATTCATAGGGTGAGTGAAGGTAACAATAATAATCCCTCTCCTAGATATTAATATGTCACAACTTGAAGATAAATGAGGAAGTGACATAGGAAGGTTATGGAGGCTATGGAAGATGGTTGCATCAATTCTGCCATGGAGGCCGTAGAGATCATATAACTTCGAATATACAATGAAGTGTTGTGCTAATGTCATGGAGGCCATTAGAGGAAGACATATTAATCTTTTCCCAAGGTAAAATGTCATGACATGAAGATGATAAGTGGCATAAGAAATTTTTGAACATTATTAAACTTGATTAAATCAGTATTCCTTAGAATAAATATCAAATGAACCATGGCATCAATATTAAAAGATGAATAGTAATCATTTTTGGACATGAATCATTTACTTTCTTGAAGTTAATACAAATTTGATTTTGAAATTACTATCACAAATAGGGCAGATGTAAAATCTCCTCATGGATATTTTTTTTTTATCATTTACAGATACTTCGCTCATAAAAGTTTCTCTATCTTCTTCTCTATAGAAGAATTCTTCATATAATTTAAATGGCCCTTTGAAGATTGTATCATGTTGCCCCAAAGTAGTATGATGGTGATAGAAGTTTGGTAGATACTATCTTGGAAGAGCTCAAAAGAAGTCTTCCAAAAGTGCAATTGTATATTGATTAAGCTTTGATCACCATGAAATCGACTTATCTAAATACATGGGTTTAATTGATTGATGATTTTTTTTAAGGAAGGCACTATTCTTCACAAAACCCGAACAATGAGCTCAATTTCATCCTTTTGGCCATAATGTCAAGGATTAATATGTTCATCAAGCTTCTAATATTGATATGGATCCACAAAATCTTAAGGTAATTTATTATATTAAAAAAAATGAACGTGCCACGTGGAAGTTTCTATATAATGAAAACCGGCCATATTATGCGAAAGAAATGGTCTTCACAACTAACTAATTTTTTTTTTCTCCACAAAAAATTTCTTAACAACTTTTATAGATCACATGGAGGCTTTGTAACATTCATTCCTATCATAAATGGCCTCCATCTACCTTGCCACCATCCCTTGGTGGAAAATTGAATATGGGCAACAAAGTCTACTAGTTTTTTATTATGGAGTCTCTCTATCCCATATACTTTATATTTATATGATGCATAAAATAATACATGATTCTCAAGACATCATGGCCCCACATTAATAAAAAAAAAAAAAACCTAAAATGAAGACTTGGGAATTCCCTCATGCACAATGTATAATAAATATATGTGCAAAAAATAAAGCTCAAGACTCTTCAATGTTATGCAAATGGACACTAGCTAGCCTTGTTACATCCTCAAGTTCGCTTGCTTTATCTACTTGGTGACCATTGGAAGCCATAAGCCCTTCCATGTGCAATTTACACTAGCCTAATACGACAGTGCTATGACTATTAAAGCCGACTTAGGCTTCGTTTGGGACGGCTTTTTTATTGCTTTCTAAAATGGAGTTTTAGTACAATTTTTTTTTTATTTTTGTACTAAAACTCCGTTTCAGAAAGCAATAAAAAAGCCGTCCCAAACGAAGCCTTAGTGCTTCAATGATCTTCTTATAGACATCACTTCAACTACATTATGCTCATGCAATAAATATGCATGACCTTGAGGAGAATAATTGTTTATTCTAAGATACATAGAGATAAAATTAGGTTAGTTTGTCTTTGAAATATGAGAGCTAGAAATTAGCAAGGGAAGTAAGTGATCCTTCAAGATGCCAGATCTAGAGGTGTAAATGAGTTGCGACAAATAAATTAAATTTTATTTGTGTTCAACTCATCAACTATTGAGTCAAATATATAAAAAATTTCTTGATAGTATCGCTCTCATATTCAGATTTGGCTTATTTATTTGTTTAAAAAATATAATCGGACTTAATAATCAATATGATTGATGGCATTAATAGAGAGAGAGAAGAAATTATTATGTTCGATCATTGGACCGTTCAGAGGCGAATCAGGATGCACCACATTACCCGGTACATAACAGTACAAAGCCGCGGTACACTGCAAAAAAGGTGGCGTTCCACGCATAATAATTTCTCGAGAGAGAGCATGCAAGTATAAAAGCTTCTTATTCTAAAAGAGCTTGCTTGGTTGTGTGAAAAGGGTTGTGAATATAAGAATCTATAAAGTTAAAATTGGTAGGAAGTTGATCTGTTTGACTTTTTCTTGATCTCCATTCATTCATTGACTCATTCATTTCCAAATTGGCAACTAACACCAATTATTAAAATTTCCAATAGTTGAAATTCTTCTCATTAACTGCCATCTCAATAATTTTTTAAGTTGTTAAATATATTTTCAAAAAAGGAAAAAAAAAAACGTGAACATTTATTATTATTATTATTTTGACCCCACATTAGCTTTATTCCATAGGTCAGTTTTATAAATATTTTGTTTTTCTTTAATTATCGAGGTTAGGTCTTTTGCTACTGTAATTTCTTTTAATGAACAAGGAAGCTTGTTCTTCCTATCTCTCTTCATTTGATTAGTTCAAATTCTCATGGTGGAAAATGAGTTATTAGTAATGTTTTTTGTATATATAATTCAAATACAACGTAAATTATAAAACTAATGAAAATTTGATATTTTATTTTTGTTCATCACTTCAATACTCTATTCCTTTTTTTTTTCTTTTCAACCAATTTAAATATAAATTTAAATAAAATATTTAAATATGCGTTTATTTAAAGATTAAATTCAAATGCAAGAATTTAATACCAATAGTCTTAAATGCAAGTACTAGAATTTGTATCAAAAGTTAGGTATGTATGCAAAGAGAGAAAAATATTTGAAATA